CGGTCGTTGAAGTTACACATGCAATATGGATATGGCATGACATGCATGATGTTATGTTCAATTAATTATACATTACAAATATATATAAACATATGTACCCTGTGAATCCCATGGGGGTGGTGTTGTCCATATTCAAGATAATCTTGTATGAACCTGTCCATGATATAAAACATACCATGAGTTCTGATCTATTTACACATCTAAATATTTCATCTAAACTATTATCAATTCAGTAATAAACAATACAAATTACTGCCAGATAACCAAAACCACACATACAATCAGATATGGTATTTCTTATATACATAAACTCAACATACACACACACACAAAGTGTATGGGACATGTTTAAACATAACATTAATCTGATATAGATATATTTACATGAAGTGATTTATACATTACAATGGCATAAAAAGAACATGATAGTAACTAACCCTTTTAGTTTCTGGTCCTGTGTCTCTCCAAGTGTCCAAGTGCAAGTTGTAAGTGCCAGTGACAAGAATGCATATGTGGAAAACAAAGGGTTTGAAAGTGGGACACCTAATTCAAAATTAGCCAATCATTAAAATACCTGGGCTTATACTTTGATTGCTAGTTGATCTACCCTACACTGCAGTGGACTTACCCAATGAAATTACTTAACAAAAGAAATGAGCTTTAATGATACTAGTTTACTTGCAACTGCTTAAATATCTTATGGAGCCTGAAATAAGAGATTTGATTATTCATATATCAGTGAAGATGACTGGTTCATATATCTGAAATTAATACAATAAATAGTTATTAATTACTGTATTGCCTGAAATATACAACTGACATTATTTTAAACATGTTAAAGTAAAACAGCTAAATGATAAAACATAATCACTATGTACAGACTTAAACTCTACCACAAACATACAAATGCACATGCACACAGATCTTTCCATCCAGATAACAGAATCATTTATCAATGGAAATCTATAGGGAATGGTTTGAAAATTCTCCGTCCGGGTAATATGTTTTCTACACCTGTCCCTATCACCTGAAGAAGGGGGCAAGAAGTAGCCCAGAAACGTCCTGTTATACAATAAAGAAGAGGTTACCATCCATATACTTGTTTTATATGTACATGTGGACTAGCAGCAGTGGTCATGTAGTGACAAGAACAAGATAGTGAGTGCCTTAAGTGCCCACCATTAGTGTCAAGGTCCTGCCTACTGCCTAAAGGAAAGTACAGATAACTCATTTAGAAATCCGGGTTTTACATCAACTTTGTTTCTGATAGTAAGTTTCTTAGAATTTATGTGTGTGGAAATATTTGTCAATATCTTTTTTGCCAACTGCAGTTTACAGTCAAAAGATTAAATTGTTTATGTATGTAGTAGAGTTATAAATATTTATAGTACATTTTTTGAAAAAAATGTTACTTTAGCCATGACTCGAATGAAAAGGTTTTTGTATTTCAAATAATTATTGAGTCAAATATGTAGGAATTTAACATTATGTAAAACCCACTTGGTTGTTGTGTAACCATAACACAACAACACACTATGCTTGTTTGTCTCCATTATATTGCATCACCATTCAACCTTATTGCTGAATTTGTGCAATTTCTGATCCATCCAAATTGAAGTGTACAGACACTAGCAGTACGCCAGAAACTTATAGTTATACTTTTCTGAATAACCAGCGAAGACTTTTGTGTTTTCAGTTAACCTTGAAGATTTTGCCAAAGCCTTCTGTAACATTACAAGAGAAGTTATGAAGGAAAGCAGAGTACCTGAAATCCATCTGATCGAGAAAAATCCAATGGTTATTGCCAAACTCAAGGGAGTGTTTGATTCCCATCTGACCCTGGAATCAGGAGAGGATACCATGGACATAGAGGTGGCTGGAGCTACAGGAGGCGAGGAGTGTTCAATCTGCAAGGACTCCTGCAACGATCCCAAAACCCTGAAGTGTGGGCACAGGTTCTGCAGTGAATGTATCGATCACTACTTCAACAATTACAAGCCTGTGTGTCCAAATTGTGGTGCCATTCATGGACCAGTGTCAGGGAACATGCCAGAAGGCAAAATGTCTGTGACTGTGAATGCTTTCAATCATCTCCTGGGACATCCACATGATGGAACCATTACTATCAGATACAACATACCAGGTGGAATTCAAAAAGTAAGTAACATACATATTTCATTCAAATGGTGAATGCATTTCTGCTGATAGCTCAACAACATGTTTTTTTTCTTTTGTCATTTTTAGTTTGACAGGTTCAACTCTGTAATGAAATAGAAAGTTAGAATGTATGATTGACCTGCCAGAGTATGTTCATCATAACACAATCCTAAATGAAAATGCCCAGAAGCCCAATCTTATCCGTCCCCATTACCGGGACACATGTATGCATATGTCAAAGAAATTTGGTGTAAGCTGGGTTAATATTGATATAATATCAAACTGTTATGAAATGATGCTGTGTGCAGTTTTCTACACTCTATAGAATTGGAAGGATCTTCTCAATTTTTCAGTTTTTATAGCAACCAACAATGCAAGGGTAGTAGTGTACATTCAGAAACTAGGTGGGACCAAGTCCCCATCCCTGTAGATAGAAACATCTTGATTTCTTGCCTTGGCAGACTCATACAACTGCTGGATGGAAATTATTTAGGGACACTTCGCTTAAAAGCCCTGAAATTGCATCTGGGTGGCAGCTACAGACCTTCATCATTATCAGCAGAAGAGATGCTGCTGCTGCATGGCTGCTGATATCTTAGCTCTTAGTTATAAACAGGTTCAAAACTCTCTTCCCAATCTCGCTTACCAGTAGAGTTCACATAATACCTTCACCCAGTTGTTCTTACGAGACTATTTCCAAGGTGTTAACGTTTACTCACAAGGTCCCTTGTTGCTCCCGGGACGATTATTAGATCCTTGGGTTTGTTCCTGTCCCCAAGAATAGAAGTGGAGGAGCATGATAGGATGTGGAAGAATGAGCTTCATTGGCAAGGACCCTTTCAGCAGCTAGTTAAGAGGTGGGACTAGAGTTGCTCGTGATGGGCAGGGACCTTTTAAGCAACAAGCTAAAAGTATTCATTAAGTTTTGAAAACATCACGTTACAAGAAGCTTCACATCCTGACTGACTGACTGACTGAGTTTGGTTTTACGCCGCTTTTAGCAATATTCCAGCAACATCACGGCGGGGGACACCAGAAATGGGCTTCACACATTGTGCCCATGTGGGGATTCAACCCGGTCTTCGGCGTGACGAGCCAACGCTTTAACCATTAGGCTACCCCACCGCCCCTTCACATCCTGAAGTGACATCACAAACAGAATGGCATGTCTCAGGGCTTGAAGTGGGTATGCTAGAAAATATTGTACTCTTTCCTTGGTGAAAAACAGTTAAGTGCAAACTTTTCAGGTCACTCAGGTCAGGTCACTGTACATTCTTATCCAGCATATCCACAAACACACCACACATTAGTTTAACATGCTAATACTTTTATGATTTAGTCAAGAGTCATGATGACTCCTAGATTGGAATGCCTTTGGAGAACCCTTGATTTAGTAATCAGAGATGAATGTTTTTGCTTGCCCATATTCTCTATTTGTAAATGATTCCCAAGAAAGAACAAATGGAAATTTAAAATATCCCCAGGTAATGATGAGTGCTGCTCTTATAACATTTGTAAGTCTGGGAGGGCAGCTTTAGTTTTGACTGTCCTGTGACCTTCACTTCCTTTATCCTAATTGTATCCTTGATTTTATAGTCTGTATTATGGACATACATTTCCTGTGAAACCTACATGATTGTAGAGATGACATTTTAATGAAACTTTATTAGCAATGATGTTCAACTGGCGTTTTTCAACATGCCATTTGATAATGTTGTGGAAACTTGATATGTTACTGGTCAAATCTTAAACTTTTTGATATCATGCATATGAATGTATAACCAATTGCTGTGCTTCGAATAGCTACATTGTGCTTTTTCAGGAAGAACACCCGAACCCAGGCAAACCATACATGGGGGCTTATTGGACTGCCTATCTTCCAGATTCATGGGAAGGGAAAAAAGTTCTTCGCCTGTTGATAGTGGCATTTGACAGACGATTGACATTTACTGTTGGCAGATCTGTCACAACTGGTGCTGAGAATAAAGTTACATGGAATGATATCCACCACAAAACTTCATATTTTGGAAAGTAAGTACTGACTGGTACAGTTCTGCAGTTACTCTTTAGCTTAATAACAAGAAAAGTAGACTTTAAATTTGTATTTATGTATACCCTGAGAAAGTAACATTCTATCATGACGTCAAACAATGCTTTGTTCAGACTGGTTCAGAAGAGGTAAGACTTTCCTTATTGATGCCTCATTTAAAATAGGCACATTTACACAAAGTCTTTGGATTCATTTGACAACTTATTTTTGAAAAAGTATGTAAAGTATGTGTTTTGAACCATTATCTTTAACTGTCCAGGACTATGAATATTTCAATCCCGAACATCAGTAATATTTATGACATGTGTAACTACTTGTGACCCCTTTTTTCAGAATGTTTAAAGATAGGAGACCTTTGTACTTAGGCGTAATTACACGTTCCAAGAGAGCATAATTTACAAAACAGAGATAAAGTAATGGAATGGCAATATGTCTGTTGTGTTTTGAAGTTAGGTTTAGTCCAGAGTATGTACCGTTTATATCAAAATGTTGAAACCTTGCACTGAAGCAAACAATTCCAAATAAAAATACAAGATAAAATGATACTTTGTTGAGGTCATATTCATGGAAAGTTGTGTTGTTTAATTGGAAAGTATGTGAATATTTCGCTGTGAACAAAGATCACTCACATTAACTCACAAAAAAAAGAAAATATAAACAAACAAAAAAAGATTATATGTAAAAAGCAAATTCACTTCAGCAGTTAAATCTGTAAGTATTTGGGTTAACAAGTTGAACTCTTCACAAAGATACCTTCACTGTTGAGTGTCACTTTCATTTCTCTGTTTTGTAGTTTTGGCTACCCTGACCCTGGTTACTTGAAGAGAGTCCAGGAGGAGCTTGCTGCTAAAGGGGTGACTGAAGCAGACATTGACTGGAGCACACCAGTGTGAGGGTTCTATATACCCTTCACAATGATATTTCTGATACCTTTCAGCATGTTTTCAGTACGGAAAGTCAGTTTAACTGCTATGATGTTGCAAGAGTGTTGCCAAAAGCAGCATATATCATATCTTTGTTATTCATAATTCACTCATTCATTTATATGTTTTAGGGCAATTACTACTTTTGACCTAATTCATTCAGCTGCATATTATCTTGTACTACCTTTCAGTTTCATTACTTTATACTATTGATATTACTTGCATAAAAACCTGTACAGATGGGAACGACAAACAAAATTCATATGTAGCTGTGCATGACAAAAGACTGCAGATCAATGAACATGTATTTATTTGTCTCAGTGCTAGACTGACATCAACATAGGTGGACGGATATCCCAGATAACATTTTTTGTAAAGTATGCAGACAGATATCCCAGTGTATCTGATATCCGAAACAGACATGTGTATATACAGGATATCCCACAGTATGTCTAAAACAGTGTAAAGACAGATATCCTACAGTATGTTATTTACATAGCATGTGTTAAGTAGGCAAACAGATATCCCACAGTATGTAATCTAAAAGCATGTGGTATCTGATATCCCACAGTGTGTTAAAACAGACAGACAGATATTCTACAGTATGTTATTTGCAAGCATGTGCAAAGTAGGCAAACAGATATCCTACAGTATGTTATCTGATAGAATGTGTAAAATAGGCAGACAGATATCCCACAGTATGTAATCTAAAAGCATGTGCAAAATAGGCAGACAGATATCCCACAGTATGTTATCTGATAGCATGTGTAAAATAGGCAGACATATATCCCACAGTATGTTATCTGATAGAATGTGTAAAATAGGCAGACATATATCCCACAGTATGTTATCTGATAGCATGTGTAAAATAGGCAGACATATATCCCACAGTATGTTATCTGATAGCATGTGTAAAATAGGCAGACATATATCCCACAGTATGTTATCTGATAGCATGTGTAAACTAGGAAGACATATATCCCACAGTATGTTATCTGATAGCATGTGTAAACTAGGAAGACATATATCCCACAGTATGTTATCTGATAGCATGTGTAAAATAGGCAGACATATATCCCACAGTATGTTATCTGATAGCATGTGTAAAATAGGCAGACATATATCCCACAGTATGTTATCTGATAGCATGTGTAAAATAGGAAGACATATATCCCACAGTATGTTATCTGATAGCATGTGTAAAATAGGCAGACATATATCCCACAGTATGTTATCTGATAGCATGTGTAAAATAGGCAGACATATATCCCACAGTATGTTATCTGATAGCATGTGTAAAATAGGCAGACATATATCCCACAGTATGTTATCTGATAGCATGTGTAAAATAGGCAGACATATATCCCACAGTATGTTATCTGATAGCATGTGTAAAATAGGCAGACATATATCCCACAGTATGTTATCTGATAGAATGTGTAAAATAGGCAGACATATATCCCACAGTATGTTATCTGATACCATGTGTAAAATAGGCAGACATATATCCCACAGTATGTTATCTGATACCATGTGTAAAATAGGCAAGACATATATCCCACAGTATGTTATCTGATAGCATGTGTAAAATAGGCAGACATATATCCCACAGTATGTTATCTGATAGCATGTGTAAAATAGGCAGACATATATCCCACAGTATGTTATCTGATAGCATGTGTAAATGTTATGTTATCTGATAGCATGTGTAAAATAGGCAGACATATATCCCACAGTATGTTATCTGATAGCATGTGTAAAATAGGCAGACAGATATCCCACAGTATGTTATGTGGTATCATGTGTAAAAAGGTCTCGACAAGGTCCATCAAGTGAGTGTCCAAATCAAGATGTCATACTGTTTGTAATTGCCCAGATTATACTGTATATTAAAATGTACTCTTAACTTTACACCATGCCACTTATGTATGATAGTTCAAATATTATACCTTGTAATTAGATGTTATTTAATATATATCCCTAGTATACCCTTGAATTGCATCATTTTATTTATCCATACTTTGATGGATATGGAATTTGGTCGCATCACTGTTAAATGTTCAAATATATTTGTTTCATCTAGGTGACAGATTCAGAAACTAACCTCACTTTGTTGATGTGTATGTGTATACTTTGTGTTTGATGTTCTAATGAAATATAATTCCTGAGTAGCTGTTGTTGTCACGGTTATGTTATATAATACAGCCTTATACAGTATAGAATGTTGCAGATGCCTTATGATAGATATGACTAATACAATACCTTAACAAAGCCATGATGATACCCAAGTACATTGTGTATGTGTATGTTCATATCTTACACCAATAGCACCACTTCCAAAGGCTAGTCTGTGGTATTTAGAGCATCATGTTGCCTATAGTTGGTCATTATACAGCAGTTACTTATTATGGTAATACCAGTTCTTTAAAAAATCTTGATTTTTATTTAGCCTCTTCTTGTTTACCTTTCATAATATGGTTCCAATAATGCTATGAGCATGGTAAAAAAATGCAGAATCTTAGTTTCCCATGCCAGTACTATTTTTTCTTGAGATTTATCAGTTAAATATTTACAAAATGATTTCTATGTCATGTGTAAACATCTCTAACCATTGCTTACTGTATGATGTAGTGCTGAAAGTATCAGTGCATGGAAATTTCGTTTCTTTACTGATAGAATGTCAAGAGTGAGTGAGTTAGATAACCTGCCTTCATCATACACTGGAAACTTTCAGGCTAACAACATCCTCTTGAGACGCATTTTACCCCCTCTCACAAATCTGTACTCCCCTGGTCATCATCAAATCATAGACCACTACTGATATATAGCAGACTAAACTGGATCTATTGGTAAGTTTCAGTTTCCTGACTGACTGATTGTCATGGTAACCTGACTGAGTTGGGTGTTGCTCATGCTCTTATTCTCTAGTTGCCCGGATCACACCAGGTTATTTTCATCCCACTGTATATACTGTTATAGATCTAGAAATTATATATTATATCAGTTTAATTTTCGTTCAGTCTAAATATTCACAAAGACATCTGTTGTTATTCCACGCTTGTATCACACTTTTGTCAGTTGTACATTTTGTGAGATGGAGTGTACAGATTTCCTACATATATTTACAATATATATCTGCTTTATCTACACAATAATCAGTGCCATGGAGATAGCTCTGGTTTGTAGTTTCATGTATTTATGATATGGAACAAGTTATGGCCATCTGAGAGACATGTATATATGCAGTGTTTGTGTGTCTAATTTTCCTGATTGTGTATCCAGGTTTGTGTTTGGGTGTTGTTTATCTTTGTGCATCAATGCGCATAGACAATTGAACAGTAAGTTCATTCAACCAGATGACAAAACTCCAATGTGTAGTGATCATAAATTCAGTGTTTTAGATAATTAGTATTTCATCTTTACTTTTTACTCATTACTGAATTTGGTATGTACAGAAAACTATTCTAGATGCTGAATCTGTGTAACTATTGGAAGACAAACTGATTTCTCTGCATCAGCTAGAAGACATGTATTCCCTATCATTGTTTTTTGTTAGTTCAAATTTGGTTTGTTGTTGTATAGGATAGTTTCATAAGTTGTTGGACTTTTGGCCATACCTACACAAGGTTAATGACTTGACCTACATGAACAAATTGTGTGGACTGAAAGATTAGTTTTCAAGTCATCACCAAAGTCAGACCAACTTTGGTTTGTCCATATGTAATTGAAGATTAAGTAGTATATATTTTGTGCAATGCTTTGTTTGTAAATATTATTTAAAGTGGATAATATTATTGAAAACCTTGTTAACGAAATAATACCTCCTTTTGTGTTATTTTGGATTGTACTTAGATCACATTCTGTTTGTTTTAAACTAATCATTCATTGGTTGTCATCAACAACTGACATTTTATGTATCTTGAAACGTTTGCTTGCCATGTGTGACTGTATGCTCTATTTATTTGTATATAGAGATTGATTCCTAAACTAAGTCTGGTACTGTTTGTCAGTGAAGGAATTGAAATTTGAATAACACCTTCAAAATAAGTCCATGGGATGTTCTAAATAACTCATTGATCAATGTAGTCTGTTTTGATTTCAGATCTATGAGGTGATGAAAGTTACTCACTCAGAGGTGTGTTATGTTTTGCTGTGTCAAAAGACACAAAAATGTGATTCTAGTTATCATCCAAATTTATTCTTCCACATTTTTCAGTGTGAAAACGTAAATAAATGGTATCTTTAATGTGCAAAGCATGATGCTGAAATGTTAGATAGACTGACATTATGGAAGCTTAGGATGTTGCTAGTTTGGAAAGCATGGTAATGCAATTTCATTGTTGTGTTAGTCGAAGCTTGTTTGGATGATAAATAATATTGTTACCATGAACATTATTGTATAAAATATTGTATTGTGTTATATTAGTTTTAATCAAATTACAGATATATTTCATAAGTGGTATCTGGTACATATTTGTAACTGGAGAACTCAAACAGAATACTGTATTTATACAGCAGTAATCAATTTCTAATAGACCTGTGGTTTTTATACAAATTTCATTGTTTATTGTTTATACATGGATATGCATTGGATAGCATTTTGATTATTGTTAGTATTTTAGTTTCTTCAATGCTGAAGACTGCTGAGTAATGGATTTCAGCTTCACTATTCTGTCTGTAAAATTTTGGTATTGGTACTTTTATGTTTTAGCTTGAGGTAAGGGTAGTAGCATCTGAAAAATGAAGAAATAAAAAGTCCACAGGTCAATTCCGTCTTCTTTGAGTGGCATTTTAGAAGCTAGGAAAGACAAACTTTATGTATAACAACTTTCATTTCATGCAGCACTTACAAAAATTTGCCACTGATACCAGAGCTTCTGTCACTTAAAGATTTTGTACTGAAATACTGTATTCAAAACTCTCAGCAATATGTGAGAATGTGATTCAACATTTTCTTAATATAACCCTGTCTTAGTTATGTTGTGTTTTAGAAAAGGCTAATCCAAACTTTTTATGATGATTATGACATCACTTTTGAAACATTATATTGTTTTTGCTTCATATATGTGTGAAAATTCATGTTAACAAATTGAAAAATATTTTCCTGAAAACCACAACCTAAATGTCCCACAAAATGACTCAGCAAGTGGTATACAGGTTTCATTTCAACAATAATAACATATTTTAACTTAATGTATTTCTATTAACCTTGAATTATTAAAGAATTTATCCAAATTTGAAA